CCCTCCCTCCCTCCCTCCCTCCCTCCCTCCCTCCCTCCCTCCCATCCATCCATCCATCCATCGATCCATCCCGCTGGGACAACCAGGTTGGACTTATCCATTCATCCAGCTGGGAAATCCTGGTTGCGCAGTCTGGCCTACATACACCCAAGAGAGGTCATAACCTTGTTCATAACAAAGAATTCAAATCCAAGAAAGAAGAAGATTACAAATTACACTCCAGATCTAAAAATAGAAGCTAAGAGTCAAATTTCCAAAAACTTCTTTGTCCTCGTTCGTTTGTCGTTGTTCTTACCAATCCTTGAAAAAGTAGGGCACTTCTCTCATCCTCATCCTCTTCATCCTCTTCATCCTCTTCACCTCATCCTCATCTTCATCTTCATCTTCATCTTCTTCATCTCTATCAGTTTGTGGCTTCGCTGTCCAGGTTCCTGACAACTTTAATCCCCATGGACCTTGCCGTGCCAATCAACGATGTGCAAATCCCCTTCAGAGAGAGATACTGGCAATCCGGATCCTGCTGTTTGATTTTCGCAATCTCGTAGATGTGTTTCAGAGTGACGGTGCCTGCTGCGTCATGGCCGGGACTCTTTGCGCAGCGGTTGATTCCAGCCGCACGTTTCAGGAAGTACATGGGTGACGGGGATCTGATCTGAAAGTCAAATGTGCGGTCAGCATACGCCGTCACAGTGACAGGGACGGGCACGTCAGGCTTCATCTGCTGCGTGCGAGCGTTGAACTCCTTACAGAAACCCATTAAATTGAGGCCGTGCTGACCAAGGGCGGGTCCGACGGGGGGAGCAGGCTTCGCTTGACCCGCGTTAATGATCAGACGGATGGTAGTGACGGCGCGCTTTGCGCCCTGCTGCTGGGCCATGGTTGAGCCGAGGATGCGCTTTGTGTTTTTCCCCTCACTATGGCAGCAGCCGCCAAAACAGCAGCAAGTAGCAAAACAGCAGCAAGTAGCAGTAGCAGCAGCGGTGGCGGTGGGGATCTCTCTAGCTGCTTGGCCGCCTCATCAACCTTGGCACCAGCCTGCCGTCCGTCTAGCAAGCCTGCCTCCGTGCCTGCCTGCGTGCCTGCCTGCCTGCAACAGAGCCAGCCCGCAATTCACTAAGTCAGGAAATTTGCTTGCTGCCATATCACAAATGCGACTATCCGCATGAACATGAGAGAGAGAGAGAGAGAGAGAGAGAGAGAGAGAGAGAGAGAGAGAGAGAGAGAGAGAGNAGAGAGAGAGAGAGAGAGAGAGAGAGAGAGAGAGAGAGAGAGAGAGAGAGAGAGAGAGAGAGAGAGCAAATCGACACAGTAGACAAGCACTCTGATTCCTGCGGCAGTCCTGTCGGGGGCTCGTGAGTTGTAACTGTGTTTTCTATCATAATTCTGTGAAGCTGCCAGGACAGCAGGAGGGAGGGAGGGAGGGCGGGAGAGAGGGAGGGAGGGTGGCAGGGCAAGAGCGAGGGACGGAGGGAGGAAAACAGGGAGGTAAAGAGGGAGGGAAAGTGGGAGGGAAAGTGGGAGGGGGGGAGGAAACAAGATAAACACTTGCTCAGGGACCATTCTTGGGGTTCAGCAGTCAGTTCAGTCGATTCCAGAGTACAGTTTCGTCACTGTATGTATCTCTGTGAGTTCTGATCCTAGGTAGCTCTGAGTGAGTTAGCGGCATTTTTGTGTAGTGAGCTGGCAGTCTGCGGATATGTGTGTGTGGCAGCGTTTCTCGACTGAATTCCATCCATTTACATCCATCACACATAGTTTCATCACCCTGTTCCCGGGCTACATTTTTTTACAAGCCACTAAGTCAGATGAGAACAAAGTCCTTTCCAAGCTTTCAAGCGAGCGAACAAGGAGAACTGACACCATCTCAGGATAGACCGAAGCAGACAGATAAAAAAGGAGGACTAAGAGCGGACGCGGATGGACGGACAAAGCACGCAGGCAGGCACACAGGCAGGCACACAGGCAGGCACACAGGCAGGCACAGGCAGGCACACAGGCAGGCACGCAGCCAGGCACGCAGGCAGGCACGCAGACAGGCACACAGGCAGGCACACAGGCGGCCAAGTGCCCATGCATGCAGGCGGACAATCAGACGAGTCAATGAACAGCCACCCCTTCCTGAATTCGGCAAAATTGTGCCCCTGCGCACGAGGAGGAAGCTACCACTACGAGGTGCAAGATGATGACAGGAAGGCGCTGAGAGATCATGACGATGGCAGCGATGATGATGATGATGATGATGATGATGATGATGATGACTGTAACGATGATGACGATGGTGGTCATGGTGATGATGATGATAATGATGATGATGATGATGATGATGATGATGACTGTAACGATGATGATGATGGTGGCCATGGTGGTGATGATGATGATGATGATGATGATGATGATTATGATGATGATTATGATGATGATTATGATGATGATGATGATGATGATGATACTGTAACGGTGATGGTGATGATGATAAGGGCGTACTCACATCCCAACCGACGGCATACTCAGACCGCGACTGAGGACAGACTCACATCGCAACTTTGTCGACCGAATCTGGTCGTAATTGAAGTCAGAAATGGGAACTGAAGTCTTCAGTTCGAACTGAAGACTTGCCGGTCTATTCGACTTTGTCGACCGAATCTGGTCGTAACTGAAGTCAGAAACAGGCACTGAAGTCTTCAGTTCTGCGAGTATGCCTTGCCGGTCTATCCCTTATGATATTTTACTTACTTAGACTTTGATACAAAGAATCGCCGAATTTGGTGAACGAACGGCAGGAAGAGGCAGAGAACAGAAAACCGAGCCGAGGATTATGATCGACTGTTTCGTCGGATTTCCATGCCACTTCCCCATTTCTCCTTTTCTAATACTGTAATTTCCCCTCTCTTTCCTTCCCCGTCTTCTTCTTTACAAACGATATACTGTAATAATTTTCCCTCATTTTTCATTCGTCGTAATTTCCCCCCCTCGGTAAATTTTCAGGGTGATTCTGCTCAAGCCAGTCAAGTGTAAAGCGCGTCCTCCTCCCCTTCGCCGCCGACAAGGTCAAATATGGCCCTCAACTCCCCCTCCACTCCCCTCCACTCCCCTCCTCTTCCTCCCCCCGCCCTCCCTCGCCCGCCCCCGTTCAACCTTTCCCCCCCCCGCCCCCGGCTCCCCCCTTGTATTTTCCAGACACGTGGTGCACGTGTACGTTGTGCTTTCTGTAGATGGATAAGGTGTAGGCAATTGCTGGCCGACTGCACGGGGGGGTTCTTACGTTCTTCTTCTTCTTCTTCTTCTTCTTCTTTTTTAGTATTCTTTCCTCGTACTCGGTTTCCCCCTTCTATCTTCATGACATTGTCTCACTGCATGTGACTCTCACACCCTGTTGTGCCATCTCGCTATTACTGGTTTTTGTTTTTGTTTTTGTTTTTGTTTTTCCCTTTTACTCTTTTCACGCCCTATCTTTTTCCTCTACGTTATCTGTTCCTTTTTTCTTTTTACCCTTCTATTTGTTTCAAGCCCTATCTTTTTCTTCTACCTTAGTCGTTCCTTCCCCTTGTTCCTCTTCGTTTGTGCCGTGTTGCCTGTTTTCTACCTTAACTTCAGCTTGCACAACTACTCCTTCCCGCAGTTCATAGCTCTCTCTCTCTCTCTCTCTCTCTCTCTCTCTCTCTCTCTCTCTCTCTCTCNTCTCTCTCTCTCTCTCTCTCTCTCTCTCTCTCTCTCTCTCTCTCTCTCTCTCTCTCTCTCACGCACACACACACACACACACACACACACACACATACACACACACACGAGGGGTTGTGACAGACTGTTTCGCCAGAGTTTCACCGAGTAATCTGACGAGATATATCTATGTACGTATATATCACATCCCCTCGTTTCTGGTCCTCTCTTCTTCTCTCTCTCTGCCTACAATTCACCGGCCAGTTCTTTACGACAATATACATATACTAGATGACCCATTGCGGCTTCGCCCGCAAAAACATAAAAGGACAAAGCACAAAAGAAAGAAAAAGCATCAAGGAACTGCCCTATCATACCCCGCTTCTTTCACAATAACAAAAAAAAGAGCCTGAGAGCAGACAGAAATCCGCGTGCAAGAAAATAGGAGGGAATACCACCGAACATTTTCTTTTTTTTTCTTTATCTCTGAGTGTTTTCTTTTGTTTGTGAAGCCGTTACCTTTGCAGCATCGTTTTTGTTTTGTGCTGTGCAAGAACTCAGAACTCTCAAAAGAGTCTGAGAAAATCCTCTCTCTTTTGTGCTTGGCAAAGTTCCCCCCCTGCTCTCTCTATCTCTATCTATCTATCTATCTATCTATCTATCTATCTATCTATCTATCGATCTATCTATCTATCTGCTTTTCTAGATGATGCGGCGAGCGTCGGGCCTGTACTAGCAGAGTCTTTCTTTGGTTCTGGTAGAATATACTCTTTTCTACTTCTCCTTTCTCCTTTCAATCTTTCTTCTTTGCTTTGCTCTTCCCCATTGTTGCGTTTGGGGTATTTCGTTTTACGGACCTGAATCTGTATGGTTCCCTTTTTTCAAGTATGGTGATGGTAGAATTGTTGGTGTTGTTGACATCTTTGTCTGCATCCCGGTTGGCTTTGTCTCGTTGTGCGGTCCACGTGGCGGTGTTTTCACGTCGGATGTGGCATCCGGGTTTTTGTTCCTTTTGGCATCCTAGTTGGGTGGTTCCCGTTGTTCGGCCTATCACGGGGAAAAGAGGGGGGGGGGGGGGGGGGGGGGGGGGTATAAGGGGAAATCGTCATCTAGGAGTGTCTTTTTAGTGTTTTGCCGTTGGCGGTGTCCCAGTATTTCAGTCTTGATGACGAACAAGGCCATCTGCTGTGTATAGATATATGTAATCTGGGATTTTTCTTTTCTTGCAGACAAGAATGTTTTGACATCCTGGGTGGTCTTGTCCCGTCGTCGTTTGGCCTCTGTAGGACTGGGGCGGTGCTTGCATGTGGGACTTGTCATCTAGGATCCGTTTTTGGTGCTGTTGCTTGTTGCCCCCTGTTTTGTTTTGTTTTGTTGTATTTGGTTGTTCCCTTCCTCTTTTCTTTGCCTCTTGGCCCTTTGGCTGTGTGCAAGTGGGTCGATATGACACACGGGGGTGGCGGCAGTCGCCGCTCAATCTACATCCACGTGGGCGGGGCCTTGTACGCAAGAGGTTCTGAACAGGGGGAGTTGTAAGTAAGAAGATTAAAAAAAAATGATTTTATTTTTCTTTGTTTTCTTTCTGTTTTCTTTTCGCTTTTGCGCTCTGCTAACTTTGCGACAATCTCTCTCTCTCTCTCTCTCTCTCTCTCTCTCTCTCTCTCTCTCTCTCTCTCTCTCTCTCTCTCTCTTTTTTTTTTTTGGAACCCTTTACTCCACCCTTGCTGCGTACCCCACCCAACCTCTGCCCTCCCTCCGCCCGACTTCACCCTGCCGTCTTTCCCCTTCCGCACGGCCTCCTTCCACCTCATCCTCTTCCTCTTCATGCTTTTTCCCACACTCGTCTCCCCCTCACCTCTTCCCTTCCTCTATACGTCACTCAACCTCTAAACTACCTTCAGCTATCTGCCCTCCCTCCGCCCTACTTCTCCCTGCCGCTTCCCTTTTCTCCCGGCCTCCTCTGGATCTTCTCTTAAGCCCTCCCTCTGCCCTCCCTTCGCCTGCCCACCTCACTCCCCTTCCTTCGCCCAATCTCCGCCTGACCTCCTTCCCTCTATCTCCTCCGTCCTCCTCCTTCCTCCGCACGATTTGTACTGACCTCCTCCTTCCCCCAATCTCCTGACCTCCTCCTTCCCCCAATCTCCTTCCTCCCCTTCCTTCCTTGGCCCGATCTCCACCTGACCTCCTGCTTCCCCCCTACTCTCCGCCGCCTTTCCCCTTCCTACAAGCCTCCTCCGCACCCTCTCTTCAACCTCCCTCTCGGCTCCGTCCGCCTGGCCGCCTCATTCCCCTTCGTTCGCCCCATTTGTTCGCCCAATCTCTGTCTGACCTCCTCCTTTTCCCTATCTCCTTCCTCCCCCTCCTTCCTCAGCCCGATCACCACCTGACCTCCTCCTCCCATTCCTCCCTCCCTCCTACTCCCTACCTCGCCCTACCTTCCCCTCCCTCCCTCGACCGGCCGCCCTTCCTTCGTAACGCCGGACCTAAGTAAGAAGTGATCCGGTGGACGTCAACGCTTTTTCTTTATCCGGTGGACGTCAACGCTCCATTTGTTATCAAGATCGCTCCATTTCTTTTAAGATYTCAACACGGTTGGTTGCACGCGCGCAAGAAGGAGAGAGAGAAAAACGCGTTCCACCTAACACACACACTTCCTCCTCTCGCTCCTCCTCTTCCTTCCTCGCACCTTCTTTTTTGTCCTTCTCTGTCTCCTCCWCCACCAAACGTAGGTCTCCTGCCTCCTCAAGATCGTCCTCCTCAACATTCTCCCTCGGTCTTTTCTCTTTGGAGCGGCCTTATGATTAACTGCCCTGCGCCAGGTATTTCAAGCTATCGATATTTATTTCCATGTTTCACGCTCTTCCTCCCCACGGCCCGAAGGGAGGAGGGATGGTGATGCTGCCTCTCTCTCTCTCTCTCTCTCTCTCTCTCTCTCTCTCTCTCTCTCTCTCTCTCTCTCTCTCTCTCTCTC